ACAAAAGAATGCCAGCTTTTCCAAAGGTATCTCTAAGCTACACAGGCAGTGAACTGATTGTGTTAAAGTATTGCATTTTTTATTATGCATAGTGCTTTTTAATGTTTTGTCATAAAGTGTGGAAATATTTTTCCTTTTTTTGCTGTTACACCTTGACACCATGTTTCAGCCACATTCAGATAAATTGAGCTGAGACTGACGGTTCCTTTGGAAATGAGCTGCTGTCAAGATCAGGAGGGAGCTGTTACTGTTCTTCCATTTTAATGCTTGAGCAGTATTAATGAAATGTCTCTCTCTGGAGCTATAAAACATATTTACCTTTTTTGTGTGGAGGAGATTTACTGCTTCACATCAAATATTCTGTCATTTAAAAAATGTGTTTTAGATTTAATAGCTGTAACTCTTCAGTGTTTGAGTTCTGAGTGTTAAGACTGAGAGGTTGTGTTGCTTAAAATAAATTGTTGTCATTGGATGAGCATAAGTTGATGATGAGCCCATACCCCTTATCTCTAAATGAACATTACAGTATTTGAACTTACATGAATGGAGCCTGCCAGAAACAGCCTGAATTAAGACAGATGTTTATTTTTCCAAGCTCCATTGCTACAGAGAGCTTGCAGCCCACAAAAAATAATGATCTATTTCTTAAAATTATGGCGCATTCATTGCTAAAGGGCAGGTTCAGAGATACACTGATTGGCTGCTTATCTTATTGAGGTTAATGAATGTATTTGTGGAAGAGAGTCCTATTTAGCTTCACTACATGTATAAAACTATTACCGTGGAGAGAATCATAACAATGTCAGATGCAGTGGGTATTGCCAAATCACTCATTCTCTCTGTACCTTAGCACACTATATGATGTTTATCGGTGAATTAAGTGCACAGTACTGCAGGAGATGGTACACATATAAAATAGAGCATTTAACTCTTGAACATGACAAGTTTTGTTTCTTAAAATTGCAAAGGCAATGCTCTTCTTTTGCTAGATATCATAGTTAAAAAGTGACAATCAGGTAAGAGTACCTTGAATAAATTTTCAGCGGTGAGGCAGATTAGACATGTAGGAAGGTTAGCACACAGTCGTAAAGAGGTGACTAAAATAAATATGAAACCCGGACTTAAGACTTTACTATGAATCAGCAGCGTTTTGCTGGTTGAAAGACTGGCTGCTCCTCGAGAATACAGACATTTTGGATCTTGAAGGGTTTGATAACAGATTTGGTTGGCATGCATATATATGGTATGACAAGGTAAAAGTGCACAAAGGTTTTAAGAACCATATGGTGAGGAAAGCTCTGTATAATGTCTGGATAAGGTATAAAGATTTGTTTGAAAGCAGAACCCCTAGGTGGCTGTCACCAATGGAGGCAAAAGAGGTGAAAAAATTGAATATGGGTTCTAATTGGCCTAAATATTTTGAAATGATAGAACAAGATGGTGAAAAAGTAAAATTGCAGAGTTTCGAGAAACTGAAGTTTAAGGTGAGAGATTGGCTACACTATCGACAGTTAAATGAAGTATTCAAACAGGACAGAAAGAAAGGCTTCCAAGTGGAGAAGTCCAAACTAGAAACAGAACTGTTAGAACCCAATACTAAAATCTTGTCAAGAATGTACAACTTGCTGTTGAAATGGAATACTCAAGATGAAATGGTGAAATCTAGTATGATTAAATGGGCACAGGATATAGGGCATGACATTGAGCTTGCTGACTGGGAGCAGTTATGGACCACTGGTGTTAAATTTACGGCATGTAATGCCTTAAGAGAAAACATTATGAAAATGATCTACAGGTGGTACATGACTCCGGCTAAGTTAGCAAAGATTTATCATTTGCCCAATAACAAGTGTTGGAAGTGTAATGAAACGGAGGGAACCTTCTATCACCTTTGGTGGACCTGCCCGAAGATTAAGGCCTTCTGGGAAATGATCTATAATGAAATTAAAAAAGTTCTGAAGAGAACTTTTAATAAAAAGCCAGAAGCCTTTCTCTTGGGTATGGTGGGCCAAATGGTGCCAAAGAAGGATAGGACATTTTTTATGTATGCCACAACAGCAGCAAGAATCCTTCTAGCAAAGTATTGGAAGACACAAGATCTACCCACGTTGGAAGAATGGCAGACGAAGGTGATTGATTATATGGGACTGGCAGAGATGACTGGCAGAATCCGAGACCGGGGGAAAGAGGCGGTGGATGAAGACTGGAACAAATTTAAAGTTTATCTTAAAAACTGTTGTAATTTGGAAAATTAGAGGATCAGGGTAATAAGAGATAAAGAACTACAGTTGTTTTATTATCTTATGGAAGTTAAATTTACGAAATAGAAATAAGTTTAATACGAAAGGGTTGCTGAAAAATCTTGAAACAAGAATGCAGAAAAGGGGTGGTACGGGGAAGTCGGTTTTGTGTTTATCTATGTTTTTGCTTTGTTTTCTTTTTTACTTATGGAAAATCAATAAAAATTTATTTTAAAAAAAAATAAAATAAATATGAAACCCCACCCCACCCCAATCACCCTCATTTACTCAATCAAAGTCACTATCAGAATTTACTCAGAAATTACTGTGGGGGGAATTCAATGTTGTAATACGGCAGTTCTTCCACTAGGGCAATCCCCTAACAGAAAATCTCTCTTCTCTCACCACATGCCGTTCCAGGGACTCTCCCAGCCCCCAAGCGAATTTGGAGAGCAAGCCCCCAGCCCCCAATTTGGGTGGGGGAGCAAGGGGGAAACCCTCTGCACAAGCAAAAGTCTTTGTGCAGGGATTTATTAGTTGAATCCTGCCACGTGCATTAACATTTTTGCAGGGTTCCCTTCCCTTTGGCGGTGGGTCTGTTCTAAGGACATAAGAACAGCCCTGATGCATCCAGCCCAGGGACTTGTCTAGCCTAGCAATTTCCGCTGTAGCCATCGAGATACCTATGGGAAGTCCTCAAGTAGGACATGAGGGAAATAGCTCTCTCCCACTGCTGTTCCCTAGCAAGCTGGTATTCAAAGGCATGCTGCATCTGTTCCTGAAGGTAGTATGCAGTCCTTAATAATCTTATCTTTGAGGAATTTGTCTAATCCCTTTTAAAAGCTGTCTGGGTTGGTGGTCATCACCACATCTTACAGTAATGAATTCCATAGTTCCAACTATTCACAGTCTGTCCTAAATCTTCTACCATTTGGTTTACGTGGATGATCCCAGGTTCTACTATTATTTATATGACAGGAAGTATAGCTTTTTAAAGTCCACTTCCTTCACAACATGCATAACTACGCTGCCCACACATTATGTCTCCCTTTCTTGTTTCCTTCCCCCTCTAAACTAAGAGTGCTCAAATAATGGTAACAGGGGGGTTGTTTCTGTCCCACGATCATTTCAGTTGCTCTTTACAGTACCTTTCCCAACTCTAAAATATACTTTTTGTGATACAGTAACCAGAACTATACACAAAATTCCAGGTGTGGGTGCACCATAGATTTGCACCTCAGGTTTACAATATTGACTAATGATCCCTAACATGGAATTCACCTTTTTAACAGTTGCTGGACTCTGAATCAATGTTTTCATTGTGCTATACATCACAACCCCAAGTTCTCCTTCCTGGTCCGTCACTGCCAGCTTAGACCCCATTACTGTATATACATCATGCATCACTTTACATTTAACATTGATCCACATTAGCCATGTTGTTCCCTATTCTCTCAGTTTGGAGTGCCTTGCAATCCCTTTTTTTGATTTTGCTCCTTTAATAATTTGTCATCACTAGTAAACATGCCACTTCAGTGCTCAGCCCTAAGCCTAGATCATTTACTAAGAAGTTAAAAAGCGTTGGTTACAATCCAGATTCCTGGGGAAATAGAGATTCTTACATTCATTCATCCATTTTAAGGGCAATCCATTTAGTCCTCCTATCTGGTTTTTAACTGATTAATATTGTAGTCTTCATAGATGAAGATGCTGCAGTCTTCCTAATTTAGCTTGAAAGTTCATGTTGTATAACCTAAGAGTACTAGGTGACTTTGGGTCAGTCACTCTCTCTCCTCTAACCTGCCTTACAGGAACTCCTTAAAGGAAAGACAGGTTAAGGAATAATGTTTGCAGGTATTTGCAGAGCCAATTACAATTTCCATCTTGTCATGTGAACACACATTTAACTGCCTTGACATTGACTCCCTTTTATTTATTCATCTGATTGCCACTTTTTGTCCCAAAGGGCCATTAAAGCATCATACAACATATGAAATACAATATAATCAATACAAATACAACACAGCAGAAAAGTTTTTCAAACTGAAGAGCTTAAAAGCGGTAAATTTTATGATTATTTTACAAATATTCGAGTGGGGAGCATTGTGGCATTTGCAACAGAGATAATCATACGGTATGACAGAGAACATGCTTTTAGGGTGCTGTAGGTTCCGGGTTCAGTTACTGGTATCATAAGTTAAAAAGAAGATCAGGAAGTAGCTGATTTGTCCAGTTGAGATGGGCAAATAGTCTGACCTGGTATAAAGCAGTTTTCAGTGTCCCTACTGTCAAAAACACCTGATTGATCACAATATTTTGCATCAGAACCCAACCAAGTAAATTTCTGCAAAATCTTAATAAGGCCTCCTCCAGTGAATTTTCTTTTATTTTGTTTGTGTATTGTAATCCATTACTTTTTTGTCTGTTGATGGAAGAATATGTCAATATTTGGAGGTGTTGGTGCCAACTGTGCTTCTACCGATTCTGTGGCCAAAAAACTATTTCTATGAATCACCATTGGGCAACATGAGTCCTATGATGTTAAAATATGCATTTATGGAAAGCCAAAGCATCTGTTTTACAGCCAGCATGCGTATGAACTGTATGTGAAAGTTTAAAAATAAGCATCAGCAAGGATGTTATATAGGGAAAAGTATCTACTCGATATTTCTCTGTATCTGCTACTAGAATTTTAATCACATATGGGACATAAAATTTAACCCCAAAATGTTAAATGCACTGTGTTCTCTCATCTTTTAGGTGGCAATAATTGCTGGAAATTTTGAGCTCGCTGAATATATCAAGAATCACAAGGAAACTGATATAGGTATGTAATAAATATATATATATCAGCATGTAAATTATGACTTCTAATCAATAAAGTTACTATATTCAATTATAAGCAAAGAACATACATACATACTCATAGATGATTGTGACCAGTGGAGATACCAGATGTTTCCATTTTGTACATTTTGTAGTAACAATGGGTAATAATATCTAATGTTAACCATACTCAGAAAAGGCCTATTTAAAAAAGTGGACTTGTCCCTTGATTTTAATTTATCTACTCTGAGTATGGCTAAAGACTTTCTTCTTTCATTGGATATCCTCAATTATCAGCTGAAATATAATCTGGGGAGATGCTGTGCCATATTCTGTCATTTAGGGACTACTATAGAGTAGGGCATGGGTTAGAGCCTTCTCTATAGATGTTACACTGAAGAATGCTGAGGACTGCTTTGCTCAGTGTTTACTAAGTGGTAGAGGGGAAATGGCTGAAACATGCTTGTTTCACGAGATCTTTGCAGTTGTATCCTTTTCCATGTCATGGAGGTCCATGCTACCCTTATAAGCATGTTTCAACCATTTCCTGTTTTTACAGGAAATGTCCAATATATTACACAGCATCATATGTACACTTATTTTCCTGTGGGGTGGCAGTTATGAGTGCATGCTTCTGGCTCTCAGGGAACATTCGCTTCCATAAAGTCACATTAGCTGACCTTGATGCTCAAAAGGACAGAAAGATATAATAATAATAATAATAATAATAATAATAATAATAATAATAAATTTTATTTATATCCCGCCCTCCCCAGCCTTAGCCGGGCTCAGGGCGGCTAACAACAATAAAACAGTACAAAAGTACAACATAAACAACACTCTAAAATCATTCATTCTAAAATTAATATGTAGCTGAGGCCTTTGGGGGCATCATAGATCTGCTGCTGGGCTGACAGCCATGCTAGGAGTTAGAAGGGGTAGAAGGGGTAGAAGATAAATTCTAGTATTGTTGTTGTTTGGTCATTTAGTCATGTCCGACTCTTCGTGACCCCATGGACCAGAACACGCCAGGCACTTCTATCTTCCACTGCCTCCCGCAGTTTGGTCAAACTCATGCTGGTAGCTTCGAGAACACTATCCAACCATCTCGTCCTCTGTCGTCCCCTTCTCCTTGTGCCCTCCATTTTTCCCAACATCAAGGTCTTTTCCAGGGAGTCTTCTCTTCTCATGAGGTGGCCAAAGTATTGGAGCCTCAGCTTCACAAGCTGTCCTTCCAGTGAGTACTCAGGGCTGATTTCCTTAAGAAAGGATAGGTTTGATTTTCTTGCTGTCCATGGGACTCTCAAGAGTCTCCTCCAGCACCACAATTCAAAAGCATCAATTCTTCGGTGATCAGCCTTCTTTATGGTCCATCTCTCACTTCCATACATCACTACTGGGGAAACCACAGCTTTTACTATACGGACCTTTGTTGGCAAGGTGATGTCTCTGCTTTTTAAGATGCTGTCTAGGTTTGTCATTGCTTTTCTCTCAAGGAGCAGGCGTCTTTTAATTTCGTGGCTGCTGTCACCATCTGCAGTGATCATGGAGCCCAAGAAAGTAAAATATAGTCTGACTGTACTTGGAATTCCATTCACTGGTGATTGCACTTCAGATACACCTCATGAACATTAGGCAGGAACCTCACTATGTACAGTAATGCCCTATCTTACGTGGGTGTTTGGTTCCAAGGTTCCATGTATACATGGAAATGAGGCAGGGGCGGGGCAAGGTCCACTTGGGGCACTGGATCTGGAAGTCAAGAGATGCCCTTGCGGGATCTCACAGGCCATTCCCATGCTGACACCACCATCAGCTCACAGTGTGGATAGAGTGACCATAAAGACACAAATCTTAAATTAAACATATAAGTTAATATAAACCCTTCCATTGTCCAAATAGGTTCCCACATGAATTGATGTCTCTATACAATATATTTGAATGTAGCCAGGACAGCGAGGTCTAAAACCATTGTGTAATAGACGGTGGGTATTTATCCTTCTGGGCTTTAATACTTATACTTCACCGTAAGGGCTTGCAATCTACATCTGTTTTCCATTTGTTAAGCCTTATACTACAGAGATAAAAGCAGATGAATACCTGAAAATATCAAGCATTTTGCCAATACAAAATTGATACGAGTAACAACTTCAGACCAAAAGGAATATATCACTGGACAAGCCCTCATCCTATATCTCAAGGAGGTTATTTTTGTGTTTGCATACATCGGGATGCACTGTTAGATTTACATTCCTTCATTATTTATCCTTTAAAAAAAAATTGTGATCCACCTTTCCACTAAATGGTACTCAAAGTGACTCACAATACAAACAAAATATAATTGTTGGCATCCATCTGTCTCAAAAGACGGTGGAATGCACCTCTGGGAGTGAAGTGAAACCGGTGCTTTAGCAGCACCAAAGTGACTTTCCTGGGGCACAAGTCTGGGCAGTGTATATGGAGGTCCTGGGCTGCCCAGACAACAAGACCTCCCTCTTGGCCTCGCTCATGTGGTCCAAATGAAAACAGAGCAATATGTTTGGCACCAGCTTGGCTGAAGGAGTTGCCAGAAGAAGGCATACCAGGCGCCATCCAACCATCTTAGGGACTCCACTCTGGATTTGTGTGGGGTTTACTCTTTAGCCTTGTCTTCTCCTGAAGATATCCTGCAAGACACCCAGCAGAGGTTTCCCTTCTCATAGATGGGCTACCTTCTCAGGTTGATGAGCCCCATCTACCCCTCACTTCCCTCTACAACACATGCAGTAATTGCCTTCTTGACCATTAGACCCACTATTGGTTTCATCCGCTCAATCTGCCAGAGCCTGTTTTTGCATGCAGGGGAAGTCCCTAACTCATCGAGAACCATCGGCCACCTTTGCCTGATTTAGCTGGCCAATCAAAGCCATTTCCAGGGTATGGCCACTGTCACATGCTGACAGCTTCTAGAAGCCACAGGTGTTAGGTAAGTGCAGGGTGCGGACCAAATGTGTTCGCCACCAGAGGTACTATCCCTCCTCTAACATCCCATATACTCCTAAATGCAATAAAACGCAAAGTAAAAAAGATATGTGTCAGGTAAAACCAATAAAAAGAACCACTTAAAATCAGTTTCAACATATATAAAATATTTATGAGCCAAAGGTTTATCTTAATATTATTATATTTGCCTCCTGGAGAAAGTTCATTACAGACAGGACTATCTGAGCCTCCTTCGGAACGAGTCATCAAGACTCTTTCTCAAGTTCTACCCAACGTGCTTCAGATGTTGATGGAACAGACAGAAGGACCTCTCTCAAGATCATAAAACCAGGCTAAGAACTTAAGGGAGAATGTGGTCTTTCAGATAACCTGGCCCCGAATCATGTAGTGCGCTGTGTTTCATAACCACCACTTTGAATTGTGTCTGGAACACGTCTTCAGTATCTGCTGATAATTATCCTCAATCAGTCTTGCATCATAGTCTGTACTGAGGTTTGCTTATACAACAATTAGGTTGTATCCCAGGACACACACCTCTCTCTCTCTCTCTCTCTCTCTCTCTCTCTCTCTCTCTGTGTGTGTGTGTGTGTCTGTGTGTCTGTGTGTGTTGTGTCAAAGAAAAACACAACCCTGAGTAGCAGTTCCTTATCCTAAACATTTGCGCAACTCGCAGTACCATCCTGCAACAGGGCATAACATCAAGGGGCCTGTTTGAAGGAACTTCTATCCACCCCACCTTTCTCAACGAGCTTCTCCTCTGTGACCTCTTTAGGGTAAAGAGGTGGAGCTAGGAGATCCCATGAGTGCCCCTCCCATTCTGAGGGGCAAATTACATCTAAATAAGCCCCTTGATTGGGGTATTTCATTACCAGTGCACTTGTTACACCCCATTTCCAGTACTTAATGGGAAAAGGATTGGACTAGAATCCCTTGTCCTATAAGAAATGAATTCTTATATCATTAACACTTGTCAGTTTCATATTTGATCAAATTCTTCATTGGAACGATAAGAGGCAGGGGCAAAAAGATAAAATATTAAGACTGAAAGTCACATTTCAAGGTAATTTATTTTATGACATGATTTGAAGTAACAAGACATCTTTATTGTTTACTGACATTCAGGGAATGAAAGGTATCCAGTTAATCTGTCACAAATTTCTTTTACACACATTTGTATTTCAAGCATCACACTGAACACAACCTATCACCTTGCATTCTTCAAATCTTACATTCCCAGTAATAAGCTTTTATAAACATTTCTGATATATTGGAGCATTTTCTAAAATAACTGGGCACTGTCAATTGTTGTTGAGATCTGGAAAGATCTTACAGTTCAGTGTCTGTACAATACCATTTTATTTTTGTGCTGAAAACCAACATTGCATCTTTGAACACTGCAAGGCTTTAACAAACTGTCCAGCAGCTAAACCCCATTGATTGACATGTATTTGCCCTCTTCTTACTGCAATTAGTTGCAGCATTTTATTTTTATTTATCTATTTATTTTTATTGAAGACTGAAGGGAAAGTAATGGATTAAAAGCTGTGATGAATAGAAAAGTTAATCCCTGATTGTTTTCATCCAGTCTACAGCTGTCTGCAAGTAAATGAGCACAGAAGGTTTAGAAAGCATTTGCTATACAGCTTTTACTATGGCTTCTATAGGATGGAGATACAAAAAACCAGCAATAATATATATAGGAATCTTGAAGGTCTCTTTAAATACAGCTATGCACATATTAAATATGCTGCGAACTGAGAATCCTTTACTTGGATAACCTATTTTTAAATCTTTTTATTTTGTTTTGCCTTGGCTCTTTGTGGTGAGATGAATTATCAGATGGATTAAATGACATGGGTTGTTCTTCCTCAAGTGAACAAGGTTTGTTTTATCGTTTACCTTCTCCTTCAGCAGCTCTGAAGATAGAAACAAGAGGGGTTTTATTTTTAAATATGAAACACATTGAGGTGGTGGTGTGTGAGTTTTGGGTAGTTGATTAGCAGACTAACTAATACTTGG